CATAATTTGGTCTTTTATTTAGATATTTGATTAGCTGATAACATGATTGAAACAGAAGACATTATTCCAAGTGTTGACATACCTGCACTTAAAAACAGACATATGACATTGGTCTGATTGGAGGTCATTTCCTGCCCAGAAGTTTCTGTCATGATGCCCGTTGCTAGCTAAACCCCCACAATCCTGCTAAGAGGCTCCCCTTGTGGAAGAACCAGGTACTACAGCTGATGTACAATACATTTTCTGACATGGTTGTAGAGAATACAGGCTTTTTCTTTCTTTTGGAGCTTGTGGTGCCACAGTAGACCCTACCCTCCATCACTACATTCAGACAGTGTTCTACTGGAACTTTACAACAGGGTTCCTGAACACCTACACAACATTATGAACAGATTAGAAACAGAAATGCATTTTTTTCTTCTTCTTTCTTCACGTTTTGCAGAGTTGTCAAGCATATACATCGGATTAGTTTTAATAACTAATGTGCTTGAGGTGTGCATTATGCAGGGAAACTGTAATGAACTGGGCCTCGGTATCGGCAGATGCTAAATAGTAAATGACTGATGGGATTGGTGAGAAAAAAGAAAAAGCTTTATTAATTACCTTATCAGAAATATATGTGTTCATTCTCAAATAATGTACAAAATGTCTTTGTTTTATCAAATCAAGTTTTGTAGTCACGTTTCAAAACCACCAAAACCCCAAATATTCAAGTTAATAATGAAAAACTTCAGATCTGGAAGCTGGAACCCGATCAGGTCAGTTGTTGATTATCAGAACAGTGAAGCTTATTAATGTGCTGATCATTTTTTCTGTTTGTTTGGTCCTGATGAATCAGTTTGAACCTCCTGTAGCGTTTTTATTGATCACAGATGATGAACAAAAGCAGCATCACATTTTTCTGTGAAACGACTCCAGTGATTGATCTGTGATTGACAGAGCAGCTGCTTACTTTCTGTTCCGTTCACCAGGATGAGAGTGTTTGTGTGAACATGTATGTTGTGTTTACTGTATGTTCTCCGTGCTCGTACGAACACGCGTGCGAGCGTCCTCTGTACGTCGTGCCTCTCCTCGGCTTAATGTCCGTATCTAAATTCATGTGCGGCGTGGCGGCGGCGTGGTGTCGGCGGGGCGGATCACAGGCGGATTGTGTTGGATTTGAGCTGAAGCCTCTTTAATCATCATAACACCGTCATTAATATTCATGCAGTCAGCTGGAACACCCGGCACTCACCGCTCCAAACTTTCTGCACAAAATGTATTAAATACAGCTTAAAAAATTAATGGACTTCAGTTTATATTACATGAAGAAGAAGGGGGGACGCTCCTCCCGCCGCCTCCCCCCTCCTCTCCTCATTGGTTAATGTAGATTGGTCCTCTGATTGGCCTTTGTGTTTTCCCTTTTTTCTGCTCATTTTTCCATCTTTGACAAGACTTCAAAGCGAGCGCGAGGCATGAACGGTCATTTAGAAGGATTTAAGCACATTATCACATCTGTAATTGTACATGAATAATAAGGAGAGCCGCCGCGCTCAATTAGCTCTGAGTCCACAAGAAGATCAGAGACGGGGGGACGCAGGGGGGACGCAGAGGACGGCGAGAAATGAGAAAAGTTTCAAAGTGAAGACGCTCAGAGAGGAAATTATTCTGTGATAACTGTAACTTAGCCGTTTCACAACCTAAGCAGAACCAGTACCGGGACCATGAAAGAGCCGAACAGAAAAAGAACAAGGACAGAAACTGAACATGGACAGAACAGAACAGGACCAAGAAAGAACACAACTAGGACAGAACCAGATTAGAACCAGAACCAGGAAATGACTGAAGAGTATAAAACAAGTACCAGAACAGGACAGGACAGAACCAGAGAAAGAAAAGGACAGAAGAAGGGGCTGGACAGAAAAGAACCAAGACAGGGCAGACTAAGGATACAGAACCAGACCACACAGGGCCAGAACAAACCAGAAACAGAAGCAGAGCAGGATTGGACAAGACAGAACAGAACCAAGAAACCTTTCTTTCCTGATTCTGTTCTGTATCAGAACAAGGACCTGGACAGAATAGAATAGGGAAGAACAGAACAGAACCAAGACAAAATGGAACAGAATAGGACAGAACATAACAAAACAAAACAGAACAGAAACAGAACCGGAACATACCAGGACAGGATCTGAATCTGGACAGAACAGATAGCAGGACAGGCAGACCCGAACCAGGACCTGAACAGAACAGGATAGGAAAAAGGCTGAACAGGACAGGACAGGACAGGACAGGACAGAACTAGCGCAGGACCGTAATCAGAACAGGACAGAAACAGAACCAAGACAGAATGGAACAGAATAGGACAGAACATAAACAGAGTCAGGACAGGACAGGTCCAGAACTCGAGTAGAACTTGGGCCCTAGCGGAATAAAAAAAGAAATGATTAAGAACTGGAAACAGGAACAGAACTAAAACAGAAGCAAGACAGAATAGGGCATAACATGACAGATCCAGAGCAGGACCATGATAGAACAGAACAGAACCGGGCTCTCTGTGTGTGTCAGGCCCCCAGATTTTCTTCTTGAAATCTGTTGTTTCCTGCACAGAATCCGTTTTTCTTCGTCTGAAACCGTCACAGTTTTTCAGGCCATCACAAGCAAACACAGTTCACATGTTCACTGTGTCACATTTTACTAATTTATTGAAATGAAATGATCTTTTGCTGCCTTTTTTATTTATTTATGTATTTTTTCTTGCTGAACTGTGATCTAAGGAGCATTTGCTTTTGTTCAGCTCAGCATTTTTACCTTCAGACTTTATGCAGGAAACACGTCGAGGGAGGCGTAGCTGCAGGTTTAACGTCACACTGCACTCCAAAATGATTTATTCTGTTTGTTGAATCGACCAAAAGGAATCAGCGGAATTGTGGTTTGGTTTGTGAGCGAGGAAAGAAAAAGGCCAGCATGCAACAAAGCAGCTAAAAACACACAAATATAAATGAAAATGTCAAAGAAATTCACAAAGAGGCTTCATAACAAAACAGTAGTGGAAAGAATTTAAAAGATTTAAACCTGCTTGTGTTGGTAGAAGCTGGATTGATCATTGGTCATCAGCACCTGATCACTGATCAATCATCTCCCCAGGTTCATCAATACACCGATGTTCACCATCATTTCAGGTGGAAACAGATGAGCTCTTTATTTCCTGCTAACACACTCATTTGTATACAATGACATGATGCTTCGTGTGTGTGTGCTTGGTTGCTTACTTTTGAATTAACGAGTGTTTAACTTGAGCTCTGCCACCATTTTAATTACACCTGCAGAGTTGTGTTCTGATTGGTGCCTTGTTAATGTGAGTCATTAACTGCCATTAACGAGGTCTTAGAGATGTTTGTTCTGCTGAAGAACCGCAAGGACTTACAGTTTACAGGCAGACAGACAGGTGTTGTGTACCCGTGTGACTCACCTGTTGGTTTGTGGTGTTGTTTTCCAGCTAACCCCAGAGTGAACGTGGAGCTGCGACAGCGTCTGCCGTCACCTGCACGACACCTCCTCAGCAGCCCTGACAGGTAGGAGCAACACCTGCAACTCTGATAGCTAAGCTAAGCTAAATTTTCCCTTTTATTGCTTTCCAAAATCGTGGTCAATTTAATTTGGCTGTTTGGACATGAACTTACAAAAAAAAAAACTAATCATGTCAATTAATGAAGAATGTAAAATGTAAAAGAAGTGTTAAACCACCTTCAAGTCAGTATTCAGTAGATTCACCATCAGCTGCAGTTCCAACATTGGTCCTGAACATCTGGATGTTACAGTTTTACTTCATTCTTCTTTGTGAAACTGTTCAAGCTCTGTCACAAAGGGATCATGAGTGAACAGTCGTTTTCTCAGTTGGACTGAGGTCTGAACTCTGACTGGGCCTCCAGAACTTCACCTTGTTGTCTTCAAACCATTTCTGTGGAGCTTTGGCTGTTTGCTTCGGCTCATTGTCTTGATGGAAAACAAGTCTTCTCCAAGTCTCAGTTCTCCTGCAGACTGCATCAGGTTGTCCTCCAGGATCTCTCTACACTTTGCTGCATTCATTTTACCTTCTACTTATACAAGCCTTCCAGGACCTGCTGCTGACAAGATCCCCACATCATGATGCTGCCACCACCATGCTTCCCAGTCAGGATGGTGTGTTTGGGATGATGTTCAGTGTTTGGTGTCCAACAAACATAGCGTCTAGTCTCATGGACAAAAATCTCAATTTTGGTCTCCTAGAACCTTCTTCCAGGTGACTTCAGAGTCTCCACGTGTCTTCTGGTGAACTCTAGTCCTGATTTAATCTGAGCTTTTTCCTACAGAGTCTTTCTCTTTGTCTCCCATAAAGCTTTGATGGTGAAGAACAGACAACAGTTGCTGTATGAACAGTCTCTCTGATCTCAGCTGTCGAAGCTTTTCACTCCTTCAGATGAGTCATAGGTGTCTTGGTGGTCTCCCTCACTAGTCTCCTTCTTGATCGGACACTATGTTTTTGAGGACCAGAGGACATAATTTTTTGAATTGATTATTACTGCTTTGTAGAAACCTGTTGCACAGTAAACATGACACACGTTTACAGCTGCAGACAAGCATCAGGACTCACTTCATGTTGTTTCTTGTTCACAGATCAGGAAGCAGCCTGAACCCAGAGAACACCGACTGGCCTCAGGGTAACATCATCCATTCATAGATTCATCATCCACCCATATGTTCATTTACCATCCATCATCCATCCATTTCTCACCATCATCCATCCATCATCTCTACCTTTGTCTGTCTCTCAGCTCCTCAGTACCTCCAGGAGCTTCCAACCTCCTGCTCCATCTCCCCTCTGTCCCACAGGAGGTCTGTCTCCCCCGTGTCACCCGCCTTCCAGAGGAAGTCTGTCTCCCCCGTCTCACCCGTCTTCCAGAGGAAGTCTGTCTCCCCCGTCTCACCCGTCTTCCAGAGGAGGTCTGTCTCCCCTGTCTCACCTCCGTCCTACAGGAGGTCTGTGTCTCCGTTGTCCTTCAGGCTTCCAAGAGGTGCAGGGGAGATGGAGGTGGACCTTCCCGCCAGCAGAGGCCCCTCTCCTCGGGTAGAGAGCGATGGAGACGCCCCAGATGAAGGAGCAGCATCCAGAGGTCCTGGAAGTCCGGCCCTCAGAAGACACCTGGGGACTGCTGCAAACAGGTGAGACGACTTCTGCTTCTGTTATGATTCTTCACAAGTAATTAGAAGTGAAAGCAGTTGAAGTGGCAGAAGTTGAAGCGATTGTAAGAACCTCTGAGCAGCGGAAGAAGGTGGGATGACAGCTGAAATGGAAATAGGATGAGATAAGATAAGCCTTTATTAATCCCACAGTGCGGAAATTTCCTGTGTTACAGCAGCAAAGCTGATGCTGCAAACAATTAAGGAATGTAGTACACAAATAAACCAAAATACACACGAGTGTATGCAGCGAAAGTTAAGGCTGTAAATACAAGTGATGATATCAGTTGATGAGCCGATGGTGGGATACAGGTGAAATACAGGTGAACTGCACTGGAATAGAGGTTAAATGCAGGTCAGTATAGTGAACTGCAGTGAAATGTAGGAGAATGTTTGGAAATGCAGGTTAAATGTGGGTAAATTAGAGTAGAAATGCAGGTGAAATAAATGTGAAATGCAGGTAAAAAAAGGTGACGTACAGGTTAATTGTAGTTCAAATGCAGGCAAATTGCAGGAGAAATGCAGGTTAAAAAAAAGCTGACTTGCAGGTGAATTGCAAGCAAAACACTGGCAAAATACAGATGAATTGCAGGTAAATTGCTATCGAAAAGCAGGTGAAATACAGGCGAAATAAATTTAAAATGCAGGTGAAAACCAGGTTAAATGCAGGTAAGTTTTCAGTCAGAATGAAGGTGAAAACACAGGCGAGATTCATGCGAATTGTCATTCAAAACCAGGCAAATTGCAGGTGAAGTGCAGTGAAGGTGGTGAAGTGATGAAAGGTGCTGAGAATGTGAAAAAGTTTGCAGTGAAAGCAGTGAAAGGGAATTGGCTGAAAGAAGCTGAAGTGAAAACTGCAACAGAGCAACACGAGTGGAGGTCATAGTGATGTTGAGCTGTATAATAACACCAAACACGTCAGACTTTATTTTCATTAAACGGACGTGTTAATGAAGAGTTAAAGCTCTACTCAGTGTTTGATTCACTGTTTCTTCATCAGATGAAGCTGTTTTTATCTGCAGGCTGATGTTGAATCACAACGTTTCAGACTCTGGATTTCATGCTGACCAGCGACAGTTTCTTAAAATGTTTAGTCTCAGATATTCAGGCGGAAAGAATTCAGCTGTGAAGTTCTGTGAAGTGTTACTGACTTTAAAATAAATGAAACGGCGCATTAGACCTATAGATTATTACACATTTAAACCATAATATTGTGGATATTGGAATAACGTAATGTGATATTGTGTGGTGCTTTTTGAAAGGATTAGTGTGATATGTTTAGAGCCTCTCCACACGGAGATTTATTAAAAAGTTTATTGCTTTTCATTAAACTTCCAGCTTTCTTTAGATTCTGTAATTCATGTTTTTTTTTTTTCCCGCTTTTCTCTCTTTTGATGCATTTTCAAATAAATTTAAGGAGCAGTTTGAGTTGCATCATTGCGTGAAATGTGAGCTATTAAATTTAGATTTGATTTGATTAGTCAAAGCGTTCGAGGGCGAGACAGAAATAGAAGGATAGTAAAAGAAAGTTGATTAGAAGCAGCTGATATTATAAAGTCAGAAACAGTCAATTACAGAAGACAGTGTCAGCCATATTCCAGTGTCTTATTTACCCGCTTTATTACGCCAAGAAGCCGCCTGACCTTTAAGGTAATATGAGAGAATTACAGGCGAACATCAGTCGCTGCTTATTAAACCTGCTGCAGCAGCTCTCAGCCTCTCATCTGATAATGTGAGGCCGCGGCCTCGCGTTAAAACACCTGACCTGATCACGCACAGGTGACACACTAATGAAACACACTCTGAGATGATGTCACAGGGGAGCTGACCAATCAGAGCGTCGCTGACCAGAGGAGGAGACGGCTACTGATGAGTCGCTGGTTTCATGGCAGAAAAAAGTGAAAATCACCAAGAGTTAGTTTTACTGTCGATTCATCTCTCAGTTTGGAGGATTTAAAAACTTTAATAATGCACAGTTTGAGTTTTAGGAAGCTCTTTTTGAGTCCCAGTCATTTAAAATGTGCCAATTTTAAAACAAGTTTTCCTCATTTTGAGCTCATTTTTCACTGCAACAAAAAGTCCTGCAGCTCTGTGGAACCAGAACAACCATGGAGGAGGAGGGAGAACTCAGAGATGTCTTCTGTGCAGAATGACACAGTTACAATGACAGGAAATAAAGAAAAAATATTTATTTTACAAAAATGAAAAAAAAAAAAAAAAAGAAATCCTCCCATTCTAAAATTGTTGTGAAAGTATTTGAAACTTGCAACATAAAATGTTAAAAAAAAATATATATATATATTCAAAACAAATGACATTTTTTTGAATCATGATTGACCTATTTCTGAGTCATGTTGCAGAATTTTTTATTTATATTGGACATTTTTGAGTCCACGAGTGTTGCCAACACTACAAAAAATATAGGCTTCAAATACTACAGATGTTGAATTATATTCATGTTCCAGCCTCTCCAGACTTTTCCTCTCTACTCTGCTCATCAGCTATAGAAAGATGTTCCACCAATGCTGAATGTATCTTTAACATCTTGCTCCTCTGTTCACTGTTTCTGAGCCATATTGCATTTATCCTACTTATCCTGTATTTTTTTTCTTTTTTTTACTCTCAGTCTGAAATTGTCCAAAATGATTGGTGACCTGTCCTAAATGAATACAACATTGTCCAAAGTAACTTAAAATTTGTTGAAACTGACAGATTCAGAGTCATTGTCGACTATTTTAGAGTCACTTTGGACAAGCTTTAAGTCATTTTGAACCATTTCTGAGTTCCACTGGTGTCCACAGTTGTTACAAACACTAAAAAATAACAGAGGCTTCACTTCCTGTAGATATTTAACGTTGTTGTGTTGAGATTCTTCCTGGACGAAACACTGAACCTGTTTTCCTCCTACAGTCCTCATCAGATCTCTACAGCCGCTCGACTTCAGAGTTTTGATCGAGACAAAAACGTCTCGTTTCTCCTGAAGGAGCTCGACGCCCTGAGAGGGATAAACAACAAGGTGAATAAACACAACAATTCCCTCTGTGTTCTAATACAGTCATATTCTGAATTTATCTTCTGCCTGTGAAATGTAGAAACAACTTTGGTGTTCACATGTTTTCTAGAGCAATTTAATGTCACTGATGAAACCAGTTTGCAGCATTCAGAGCTTTAAGATTCTCCTCTGATACGGTTCAGTTCTGGTTCTGTCACTTAGTTCCTTTTCCGTCCTCAGATTATGAACAACAGTGATGATGATGTTGGTGTCCAGTATTTGCCTTTTCAGAAAACGATGCTGCAGGAATCATCAGGGTTTTAAGTCTTTCAGTAAAGAGAATCTCAAATTTTACATTTTGCATATGTGAAAATATGAGTATGTTAGAAAATAATCTTACTACAGAGTGAAACGTGTCTATAGATGGTTCTGGCAGGTTCTGCAGGTAAAATGGTCCTTCCATTGTCTAGAACTGGTTCTGACCAACCACCATCACACATGCTGATATGAGCCTGGAAAGTTTACCCAGAACGCACTTTGTAAAGTTTTCTCTGGTGAATGATCAGAACCAGAACCACATCCAGGGTACTAATGATTGTTTCTATGACTCTATGTCATAGACATTAAACTGCTGCAGTCTGACTGTTACCACTATGAGACATCCCATAATACTCATGCTACCAGCTGCTGACAGAGGACATGAACACAAACCAGATCCAGTGTTCAGACTGAGACACCTGGATGGATGTAGAACTGATCTGGTGTCAGTTTCTACCAGAACTCAGATGTGTTCTTCCTCCTAAACGTCATGTGTCTATCTGCTGTACTGATGAAGTTCTGAGGCTCAGAAACTGTCCAGAATAACTCAAATATTGTCCAGAATGACAAAAATTAACAAAATGACTTAAAATGACTCAAATATTGTTTTTATTACAAAATATGTCAAAAATGGCATGAATCTTGTCTAGAATTATTAAAAAATACTTAGAATGACACAAAAAATGTCCAGAATATAACTTAATATTTTTCCAAAATGACAAGTTCCAAAATAACTTAAACTATGTCTCAAGAAATGGTCCAGAATGACTTCAAAATGTCTAAAATGACAAACAAGAACTCCAAAATGACTCACATTTTGTGCTGAATGACTAAAACATTGACTCAAATGTTGTTTAAATGACAAAAATATGTCACAAATGGCACAAATCCTGTCCAGAATTATTCAGAATCTCCAAGAAAGACAGAAAATGTCCAATATGTTGAAATGACTTCAAAATGAAGAATGATTTAAAAAAATAAAGTGCTGTACTGATGAAGTTCTGAGGCTCAGAAATGATGGAAAAAGTCAATTAAAGTGATAAATCTGGAGCTTCCTCTATGGACTTCAAGGACCTGGAACTCTGGAACATTCACAGTCTGAAGGTAGAACTCTGGTCAGTAGATAAAGGTGCTGGAGATGCAGAACCAGATGTTCTGTGGAACGAACTTTCTTCATATTTGGTTTTTTTTTTTACAATCTTTAGTTCACTTGAAGCCGATGTCACTCGGTTGTTTGGATGTTTGACGCTTTGTGCTTCAGCTGCAGGATCAGCTGGTCCAGAAGGAGAAGGAGCTGCAGAGGAGGGAGGTGGAGGAGGAGCTGAGGGAGGAGCAGAGGGAGGCGCAGCACTGGGGGAGACCTGCAGGTGAGGAGGGGGGAGGCGGCAGTTTACTCTCCTCTTAATCAGATCTGATCCAACCTTGACTCCTTAAATATTTGAATATTTTCCATGCACACTGTTTAATACCAACACACACACACACACACACACACACACACACACACACACACACACACACACACACGCACACAGAGGCAGTAATTAAAACAACAGCAGTGGTAACGAGGTGACAGTTAACGAGGCAGCTGTTAGTTTAACAGAACAGTGTGTGTTTGTGTGTGTTTAACCAGCAATCACACTCGGATGTGATGTTGATTTAACTGAGCTGTGTGTCTGTGTGTGTGTGTCAGTGTGTGTGTTTGTTGCCGTGAGTTTAATCCAGCAGGATTATCACAGAAACAGAAAGTCTCCCTGCAACACATTCGCTTCGTCTTTTGCCTCGATCGTGTTTCCATAAAAACCCTGAAGAGAAATGAGAGACGGGAATGAAAGATGAGCCGTTTTCCTTCTGGAAAAGTTGGAGAATGTAAAGTTTGCAGAGGTCGGAGGAAGTACAACAGGAAGTAAAACACACGTGGAACGGTTCAGTCTGCAGTAAAACAGCAACAAACTCAGGTTTTAGTGGTACGGAAGCTTTTAGCATTCAGCAGTTTTATTAGAACTTTCTGGATTTCCACGGTTTTGTTTGTCTTTGTGGTTGTTTTGTCGATGTTTACGTTGGTTTTCTATCTGTTTGGGTCATTTTGCATCTTTTTAAAATCAGTTTTAATCTTTTTCTGGTGACTTTGTGTGTCTTTGTAGTTGTTTTGTTGTCATTTGCATTGGTTTTTGTATCTGTTTGGGTCATTTTTCATTTTTTTAAAGTTAGTTTTACTCGTTTTCTGGTCACTTTGTGTGTGTTTGTGGTCATTTTTCATCTAGAAGTCATTCTTTTGTGTGTCTGAGAGGTGGTTTCATCTCAGTTTGCCTTCAGTCAGCATCCGTTTATGTCCATTTTACATCTATTTTAGTCGGTTAATATCTCTGTGATTCTTTGTGGTTGTTTTGTAGTTGTTTATGTTGGTTTTCCATCTGTTTGTGTCTTTTTGCATCTGTTTAAAGTCAGTTTTAATGTTTTTCTGGTCACTTTGTGTGTGTTTGTGGTAATTTTTTATCTAGAAGTCATCCTTTTGTATGTCTGAGAGATGGTTTGTCTCTGTTTGCCTTGAATCAGCATCCGTTCATGTCTATTTTACACCTATTTTAGTCAGTTAAAATCCCTTCCTGGTCATTGTGTGTGTCATCATGGTCGTGTTACAAGTTTTTGTTCACTTTGCATCACTTTTTTATTGGTTTGTATGTCTTTGTGGTTGTTTTGTGTGCCACTTAGCCTCTTCTCGTGGTCATTGTGTGTGTCTAAGAGGTGATTGTATCTGTGTTTGCCTTGAATCAGCAGCTATTTGTGGGGTTTTTTGCATCTCAGTGTGCTTCTGATTTGATTCTCTTTCATGTCATTTTGCGTGTTTTTATAGTTGATTGTGTGTCTTTGTTGCTTCTTTGTAGTTTTTGGTGTTTGTGTTGAGTCATTTTGTGTCTCATTGCTGCTCTTCTATCAGTTTGACATGGCGTCGGTTAGTTTGGAGCTGAGTAAACGTTCTTTAAACGTAAAAAAGTTCAACCTAACAGTCTCCATCAGGCTGGACCGGTCCAAAGTTGTGAAAACATGGGGGTGTCCACAGGTGTTCTGCCCCTCCTGCTGATGAAATAATGGAGTGATCCTTGAAAGCTGAAGAACTGAAGACCAACCAATCAACCAGAACACCTGAGAACACAGAACTACTACCCTGCACACTGACATCAGATCAGACTGTGGAGACGAGTCAGAACCAGAATTCACATAAAGTTTTCTGATCCAGGTCACATGTCCACCGGAAGGTTCCTGCTGAGAACCTGTCGGAACCTCACAGAGAACCGCAGCAGTTTAATAACCGGTTTTATTCCTCCTGCACTGAGTCTCACATGAGCTGTGGTCATTTCTGTTATTACACCTGGAACACACACACACACACACACACACACACGCACACACACAGTCACACAAACCACAACTCACTGGTGTTTAGTTTCTGCTAGCTTCATCCTCACACTGTCTGCTTGTCTCCTTGTCTCCTCTCCCACTTGTCTCCTCGTCTCCTTGTTTCCCCTCCTTGGCTCCTTGTCTCCTTCTCTTTTTGTCTTCTTGTCTTCTCTCGTTCTTCTCTCCTCATCTCCTTGTCTCCTTGTCTTCTTGGCTCTTTGTCTCCTTGTCTTCTCTCCTCCTTGTCTCCTTGTCTCTTTGTTCCTCCTCTCCTTGCCTCCTCGTCTACTTGTTTCCTCCCCTCCTTGTCTCCTTATCCTGTCCTCTTCCCTCCTCCTTGTGTCTTCATCTCCTTTCCTCCTTGCCTCCATGTGCCCTTGTCTCCTCCCCGCCTTGTCTTCCCTCCTCCTTGTCTTCTTGTGTAATTGTCTCCCTCCTCCTTGTCTCCTTGCCTTCTTGTGCCCTTGTCTCCTCCCCTCCTTGCCCCCTTACCTCCTCATATCCTTGTCTTCTCTCTCACTTTTCTCCTCATCTCCTTGGCTCCTCGTCTCCTTGTCTCTTTGTCTCCTTGTCTTCTCTCCTTCTTCTGTCCTCATCTCCCTGCCTTCTCGTCGACTTGTCTCCTTATCTTTTTGGCTCTTTGTCTCCTTGTCTCCTCTCCTCCTTGTCTTCTTGTCTCTTTGTTCCTCCTCTCCTTGGCTCCTTGTCTCCTTCTCTCTTTGTCTTCTTGTCTTCTCTCGTTCTTCTCTTCTCATCTCCTTATCTTCTTGTCTTCTCCTCACCTTGTCTCCTTGTCTTCTTGGCTTGTTGTCTTCTTTCTTTTCTCCTCCTTGTCTCCTTGTTCCTACTCTCCTTGCCTCCTCGTCTACTTGTTTCTTCTCCTCCTTGACTCCTTGTCTTCTCCTCTTCCCTCCTCCTTGTCTTCTCATCTCCTTTCCTCCTTGTCTTCTTGTGTCCTTGTCTTCCCTCCTCCTTGCCTCCTTGTGCCCTTGTCTCCTTGCCTCCTCACATCCTTGTCTCCTTGCCCCCTTGTCTCCTCAGCGGTGTTGGAGGAGGTGCTGGCGGCTCAGAAGGACAGAGACCAGGCTCTGATGTCACGACTCCTGCTGGCCAATGAGGAGAGAGACGAAGCTTTGCTTCGCGCCCGCCGACTGCAGCAGGCGGCTGAGTATGAATTCATCCTTTGCTGTTGTTGAGACTAGTTGACAGGTTAACCGATAACAAGCTAGCAGATTAACATGTCAGCAGTTACCAGATTAACAGGCAACAAGTAACAGGTTAACAGGTCAGCATTTAACAGATTTACAGCTGACAAGGTAACAAGTAGCAAGTTAGCAGATGAAAAGCTAGAAAAGGGTCAATAACTAGCATGTTTATCCTAACAGGTCAACAGCTCACAGGTTAGCGGCTAACAAATTCACAGCTAACGGGTTACGCGCTGACAGAATAAAAGCTAACAGGTTAACAGCTACCAGTTACCAGGTTAATGGTTAACGAGCTGAAAGTTTACCGGTCAGCAGGTCAACGTCATAGTTAATAGTTCAGGTCATACTGTATTTACCTGAATGAATTCTCTGAGTTAAAGTTCTGATCTCGCAGCTTTAGCTTAAAGCAGCTTTAACTGAAACCATACAGAACCAGCAGTAGAACTTTGCAGAACCCTGACAGGAACTCAGGACATTTTAGTTGTTGTTTGTGCCAGTGAACTTTTTACTGTGTTGTGGTTATCGTCTGACCACATCAGAAGAGAACCTACAGGAACGGCCCGGTAGAACCAGGCCCTGACAGGTCAGCCGATGAGTTCTTCCTGCAGCTGTCACGCTGTGTTTTGGATCATTCAGTCTGTCGGTCGACCCCTAACGGCAATGACTGATCAATACCTGTGACCAGACAGGTGTTAGAGAGCTGCAGGTTGGTGTTGAGCAGCCGACACACTGTTTGTTTGTTTGTTTGTTGTTGGTAAACAAACCCGGTGCTGTTTCCTCTGAGGAGAATCTGTTTATTCATTTATTTACATGTGAAACATGTTTACTGTCTGTAGAGGCAGGAACACAACGTTCTGCTGTTCTACTGTTCTACTCTTCTTCTGTCTGCTGGAAGAGGAACACAACATTTTGCAGTTCTGCTGTTTTTTTTGTTCTACTGTCCGCTCATAGTGGAACACAACCTATGACTGAAAAAGGAACACAACATACTGCTGTTCTCCTGTTCTGCTGTTTCTCTTTATACTTGGAGAGAAACACAACATTTTGCTGTCCTCCTGTTTTGTAATTTCACTGTTTTGCTGTCCAGGGAATGAAGAGAACCCAGTACCGTTGGTCTACTGTCTGCTGGGAGAGGAACAAACATTCTCCTGTTCTACTGTTCCCCTGTTCTCCTCTTCCTCCTCCTCCTCCTCGGCCTTGTTAAGGGCTGTGAAATGAGCTCTCGTTCTCTTCGAGGAGCCAAATAGACCAGAAAATCTAATTAGAGATAATACCCCCTCCCTCCTGCCTCCCCCGGCCTCCCCCCCAGGATGAGAGGGTAATTGATATTGGAGGCCACAATCCTTTTTATGAGGGACAGAATATGGAGGAACATGTTCCATCTGTCAGGACTCAGAGTGTGCGTCGCCGCCGTGTGTTAATGTGTGTGTGTTTTCCTGATGGAGCCTCCTCCACCACTGAAGTGTGTATATGAATAATGTGTTTGTTTTTCTCTTTATTCACGTTTTATTAATCAAACACACAATCAGCTGCGTGTGAGGCTTCGGCCGCCGCTGATCTTCGTAATCAATCAGTCCGATGATTAGTTCTGGATTAATCAGCTGATTGTTTGCTGTGTGAAAGTGTTCGGAGATCCTCAGCTTCCTGTGAGAAACCACATGTTGGACTGTCAGAATATTTGCAGACCGATCAATAACTGACGCAGTTCTAGATTTAAAGTTTTCAACTATTTCTGTGAGACAAACGGGAGATCCAGCGGAACCTTTAACGTGGTGGGAACAGAACAGTAGACTCTATAGAACCTTTAATATGATTGAAACACAAACAGGACATCTTGAAGAACCTAAAACATGATTGAAAGAGAAACAGGACATCATGTCAAACCTTTGACACAATGAAAATATAAAAATAAGTTCTTGTAGAATCTTTAACGTCTCTAAAACAGTACAGGAGACTCTATAGACCCATTAATATGACTGAAACACTAACGGAAGATCTTGAAGAACCCTTTAACGTGACAGAAACAGGAGATCTTGAAGAGCCTTTGACATGTTGGAAATACAGAAATAAGTTTGTGTAGAACCTTAAACATGTTGGAAACAGGACAGGAGATTCTACAGAATCGCTAATATGATTTAAACACAAACAGGAGATCTTGAAGAACCTTTGACATGTTGAAAATACAGAAATAAGTTCTTGTAGAACCTTTAACGGCATGCAGACACAAACTGGAGATGCTGTAGAACCTTAAACATCATGGAAGTACAAAGAGGAGATCCTGCAGAACCGTTAACATGATCGAAACAGAAACAGGAGACCATGTTGAACCTTGACATGATGAAAATACAGAAATAAGATCTTGTAGAACCTGGAGCGTAACAGAACCAGGGTAGGAGATTCTGTAGAAGCATTAACATAATGGAAGTACAAGGGACTAGTGACCTGTCCAGGGTGTCCCCTGCCTTCACCCTTAGTCGGCTGGGATAGGCTTCAGCCCCCCCGCAATCCTAGTGAGGATTAAGCGGTGTATGGATAATGGATGGATGAAAGTACAAGGGGGAGATACAGCAGAACCTTTATCGTAGTAGACATCACAAACTGGAGATCATGTAGAACCTTTAAAATGATGTAATCATGAACTTAATCGTCCTCTTTACATACTTTGAAGTTCTTCTGTTTTTTCCCTGGTCATGTTTTTATTCTGCTGCAGCTCAGAGTAACGTTGCAGATGTTGTTGTGTTGTGATGGCCTCAGTTTGCCCGTTTAGTTTTAAATTGACGAAGAACTGAAACCATCCATTCTCTGTAGAACATCAGTCTGATATCACTCCAATATGTCTGTATGTAACAGATACACGATGTGTTAAAATCAGATGTCCTGGAACCAGATAGATATATCTCCCTCTACAGACATCAAACACGTATTCTCATCTAGAGTCAGAGTGAGTGGATGCTTTCAGGAGAGCATTGTACTGTTCTAGCAGGACGTTGTGCGATCTGACTGTTCTATTCAACAGAGTTCAGAGTAGTTTAAACTAGACGTGTCTTGATTTTAAGACTAAGTGAACTTAAACCCGAGAACCTCTCTCATGTCTTTGGAAGACGATTTTTCAGATCGTCACTGCAGCTCTGAAATGTTCCGTCTGACATGTGAAACTTGCGAAGTGATGAATGAAGATGGATGTTATTCTCGCTCGGATCATCTGATCCTCCTAATGGCTGGCGGTGGCGTGTTTCCGTGGAGGTGTGTGGGAGTGTTAATGACGGCAGCGCTGCGAGCCGAGCCGAGCCGGGCTGAGCCGGGCTGGATGGGCTGTAAGCAGGGTGTTAGAGGAGCTTTATTGGAGGCGGCCGGTCTTTCATTACCTGCTGTTCCCTGCAGAGCGCAGCCGCCTCGGCCACCTTATTACAGTTTATTACAGCAAAACAGCAGCAGGCTAAATGAAAAGAGCCTCCCAGGAGGAGAGGCAGGAGATCAGCCTGTTACCAGCTGCACGTCCACCATCCTGACGGCTGTCACAGGGAGGACGGAGCTCCTGAACGGCAGACGCCCTCGCAGCTCTGCAATGAATTAAAATGTCGGAGAGTTTCGGGTGGACTTCAGGGAGCGCAGGACAAAATTACTGCACAGCTGCTGCAGCCGCGGCGCTCAGGTCATCTAACGGGCTGCTGCAGAGGTCCAGCTTTAATTTGGTCGGAGGCAGGAACACGGGGGGCCCGAAGCTGCTGCAGGGCCCCGACTCATTGCCTCACCTGGTCCTCAACTTACACTTTATTTAAGAATATAGAAATAAACACAGCAGCAACCGAAACAGCGAGAGCAGTTGCAGCTTTAATAGAGTAAAGTACAGAACAGCAGGAAACTGTGAAGTGAACCTACAGCACAGAAACATGAAGTTTGCTGTGACCAAACACTGAACTGCTCCTTAAAACTGATCGCTGTTAAACTACTTTACACTCTGATGGAGGACTGCATGCAGAAACAGCTAGGTTAAACTCTGAGTGTTAATCTATCAGTGTTAAACTCTGCTGGTTAAATACAGCAGAAACCTGAAGGCCTGAACGGTTATTTTACATGAACTTCAGAGAGGCTGCAGCAGCTGTGGAGGTAGTTACCTGTCAGGTTGTATGTAGGTACAGGTCAGGTTGTAGGTAGGTTCAGGTCA